AGAATAATAATAATCAATACATCATTGAAATTTTTTCCATTCCTCACACATACTTTTTAAATATACTAATTAAGGTAAAGTAGGGAATTATTAATAAATAATGACCCACGTAACTAAGAACATATGCTTACTAATTCAATAATTAATATCCCTCCATAGCAAGGAGACGAGCACACACTTGGAATCCAAGAGTATGTTTCCTCTACTCAAAGCAGCCAATGAGCAAAGCGCGTCACTCTTTTTTCTTATTTTTTTAATGAGTTGGATTTCACACGTGTCATTATCTGAAAGGCTCCACGCTTCAGTAAATATCTCCAGCAATTGGAGGACCAATCAGAAACCTTCAACCAAAATCTGATTCTCAACTACCAAATCCAAATACTGCAGTGCCACTGTTTGGCAATGGCCCATTTATTTTTCTTCAATTAAATATGTTTGCTTTTTAATTAATTTTGACAAGACAATAATAATTGGGCCATTTGTCAAATCTAGTGATTCATCCACGTTTTGGTAACTGTGTTTTGAGAATATATTACCCAATGTAAATCCGACAGGTATAACGGTGTAATAATTAAGTAATTACAAGTCAAAAATCCCCTAACTACTAGCCACCCAACTTCCTTTATCCTCTCTAAATATTATATTCATACATATAATATATGATTGTAGGTGTTATAACGGTGTCGATTCTAGTGTTCGAAAATATTAAGCAATGTTGAAAAATGATGTATTTAATATTTTTGTATACACCTATTTTATTACTTAAAATACAAAACAAATGTAGTAGAAATGCACTCTCTCCGTTTTTAATTAGCTGTCGTTTTTCAGCTTCACAAAGTATTAAAAATCTCAATAAATTTATTTTGAGTTTAGAAAAAAAAATAATTAAAAAGACTAAAATAACATTGATCGTTTAATAATGTGATAAAAGAGAGTTACTACTTAAATTAAATTAATTATATTAAAAAAAGGTATCATATTTAAAAACAAATAAAAAATATCAATTATTTTATGATGAAGCACTAAAAAAACATTTAATACCTAATAATTGGATCTTCCCATTAAATTACATATATGTAAAAGGGCTTTCAATTCATGTTAGAAAGGGCCCATTGGATTGGACTGTGCACCAATTGGCTGATGCCGCTAGCCCAGAACAAAGATACAATTGCATGCCTTACCCCAAAACAGTTACATAATTTCAATTAAGTCCTTTTTCAATTATTGTATTACGGATTTACCCAAACAAAAAAGATATATATTGCAAGTAGCATATATGTCCAAGAATTAGGACAAGTATAGATATTAATGTTTTTCTCAGTACTAGTGGAACAAAATTAATTATTCTAATAAATAATAACCTAATATTTCGATCTCATCTTATATACAACACAAGTACCGAAAAATGATGGACCCCAATACCACTTAAACTAAGTTTTTATGCAGAAGTGACAACACATTATTACTATTCTCACCGAATTTATAGTTACTCCTTTCAGGTTTTATCCAAATTTGATAGTTTCTATTTTAATAATATCGAACGTTTAGAAAATAGTTGAAGATGTTGTGAGTAAATAATAGTGAAGTGGTAATTTTGGACAAATATTTAATAAAATATGTTTTTTACATTACATACTAGTTTATTGAATTTAAGAATTATATATAACTCCCTCATAATTTTTTTTTTTAGTAAATTCAAGTCCATTACAAAGGGGAAGTAGGGAAGGTGAGACTCGAACCTAGACCGTTACCCTATTGGTAAAAGCTAGGTACCAACTCTCCTAATGACAGTTGGTAACTCTCTCATAATATTAATGCATATAAATAAGGATTATTTACTTTCTTAAAGATAAGAAATACTATAAAAGAGTCGTGACGATGCATAGTTGGTCGTGTAAGGAAACCTAACGCCCAGAGACGTGATTTTAGCCCCTATTTACATATACTTTTAATAGAATTTTCTAATGTATTTAATTTTGATAGCTAAATGAAGGCGAATTTTAAACAAATATTATTTTATTTTATTTTATTTCAAATTATAAAAAAATTACTTCCATCCTCAAAAACATATTTTTTCAAAATAAAGTAAAAATAACTCCCGAAACGATAACAAATATGCCTAAGTTTTAACATTTTGGATGAAAAAAGAAAAATAAAAAGTAAAAAGTACCAAATTTCTTAGGTCCAAAAATTGAACGGACTAGTGGTATAGGGTCAGAAGTGCAAATAAATTTAAATATCTACACATGATTCGGACAGCTGTACATCCAGCCGAACGCTTTTGGCGTCTTCCATCCGACAATTGACACGTTGCACATATCTGCCTATTGGGACCACCTACCAAGCCCACCACTCGCATTCCCAGCGCGTGCACTACATTCACACACAAAATATCCAATCACCCAAGCCAAGAGACCATAACGTGTCACAATCCGCGAAATTAGAAAATAAAAAAGGTCAAAATAGAAAGAAGCAGTGTGGGGCCCATCTTAAAAAATATCAAACCCATATCCACAAACAAAGCTCCAAAATATCACATGTTTCACTGTACATTTAACCCGACCCGGATAACCGACTCCGGCCCCGCCCTGACCCGGCCCACACCTTATATTATGGGTGTCCTCTCACCATCACAATTGAATGCACAAATTTTTCTGTTACAGCTAACTTGCGCCCCCCCTATCTCTCTCTCTCTCACACACACAGAGAAAAAACACACACACTCTTTCTCTCTCTATCTCTCTCTCTCCGAGGCGAGAACTTATATGCGTGGTGGAATGGAGATGAATAACGGTAACGGTAGTATGATAGCGCCGTTTGTGATGAAAACGTACCAAATGGTGAACGATCCGGCGACGGACGGGCTAATTGCGTGGGGGAAGGCGAATAACAGCTTCATCGTTGTCGAGCCGTTGGATTTTTCGCAGAGGATTTTGCCGGTTTATTTTAAGCACCATAATTTCTCCAGCTTTGTGCGGCAACTCAATACTTATGTGAGTTTCTGAAACCTGCAATTTTTAATTCGATTGTGCTTTTTTTTTTTTTTTTGGTTGAATTGCTGATTGTGTGGAGGAGATTTGATTGCGAATTGCCGAATTATTCTTCTCTGTTTCTGAATTTTAGTCGGTTTTGGTATAGAGAGAGAGTGATGAAAGTGGTAAATTCTCTGTTTCTCTTCAATTTTTTTTTAACCAAAAAGAGAATGGCAAAAGTGTCAGTAGACTCAGTACTCAGTACTCAGTACTCATTCAATTGCAGGAAGATAAAACGGTGACGTAGTATAAAACTTGGCACGAGTTAACTAGTTCGGTTTTTTTTTTTCTAATAAAAGTTATTTTGGAGATGGATTTTATTTTTATTTTTTATGATTATATCATTTTCGGTTTGGCTTAGGAGTGCAAATTAAACAAATCGGGTCGTAATTAACACTTTTTAAAGTATACGTGGTAATAATATTTATAAATGTAATTTTGTAAATTAAAATCGGATCAGAATGATTGAGCCGGAATTGTATGAAAAATTGTATTCCAAAATTAGAAAGTCTCGAATCGAGACCGAAAATCGAAAATTTCGTTCCAATTTTCACTTTCTAGCTTGGCTAATTTAGGAAAATTTTAGTGCAGTGCATCACTGGCAGAGAGTGGCAGTTGCCTTTACTTAGTACTATTAATGTTCATGGAAACTAAAGATTATTTATTTAGAAAATAAATAAGTTTATATATAAATATAATTAATTGATGTGGAGGGAATATTATGCTTCATGTATTATATTAAATTAGTGATTTTGACGAGAAGAGAAGCCATATATATTATATTAATCTGCATCAGGGTTTCAGAAAAGTTGATCCAGACAGGTGGGAGTTCGCAAACGAATGGTTCCTACGTGGCCAAACGCAGCTACTCTGCAACATCGCCAGAAAAAAACTCACCGGAAAATCCCACACTTTGAATCTCCGGCAACTCGACGGCGGCGGCGGCGGCGGCGACGATGAAGACGAGGAGCTGATAACGGAGATCGCGAGACTAAAGGAAGAGCAGAAGAATTTAGAGCAGGAACTCGAGAGCATGAACCGCAGGCTGGAGGCGACGGAGAGAAGACCGCAGCAAATGATGACTTTCCTGTACAAGGTTGTCGAAGACCCCGAGATGCTGCCACGTATGATGCTCGAGAAAGAGATGAACATAAGATCCGGCGGTCGGCTGATCGCGTCTTGCGTTGACAGCGACAAGAAGAAGAGGAAGGTTATCGCGACGAAATCCGCGACGGATTATTCGTCGTCCGCGAGTTCTTCGATCAAGACCGAGGATGATCTAGAACCTCGCACGAATGTCGGTGGAGAGTCTTCGTCGCCGATTTCGTCTCCTGACGGGAATTTCGATGTTGATGCTTATAATTATCGCAAATCTGAACCGGATTGGTTGGGTTTTAGAGGGAGTTCCGGTTATGCGGATCTGGATAGTCCGTCGTTTAGGGGCTCTGGCGGCGAAGGTGGTGGTTTTGTGGCGGTGGCGCCGCCTGTAAACGGTGGCGCGGATGGATTTGATGGGAATTATTTTGAAGGGTTGATTGGTGGGGAGAATGCGAGTACGCAGCCACCTTATCCGTTCTCACTGTTGGGAGGTGGTTTTTAGTCGTGTTTATTTGGTATTTAGTTTTTAGTCCTTCTAATTTAGTTGCTTTCTAATATATCTTCCTTTTTGGAGTAAAGATGAAAAAAATAAAATAAAATAAGGATAGAAAATTAATGTGTATTTATGCAGTATATGCACTTGTTTTTGCGTTTCGTTCAGTATAAGATTGTAAATATTTTTTGTAGTAATATGATATTGATATATAGTTAGAGTTTACAAAACATTTATATCACCTTTGTAATTAATTTTGAGCCTTGATTTTCCTTCTCCCTTTCTCTAAAGTTCTTGAATTTGATTTGGAAAATATTTATTTTGGATAAATTAATTGAATAAATGAGAGTGAAGAAGATTTTATAGCGGTTGTAAATAGTTAAAGTCCATTAAAAATGATCTTAAATATGCTCGAGGAGTTAATTATTTTGTAGGTGTGTGACTTGTGCTAACAATGCAGCTAAGTTTGCATTGTTTTCACATTTGTCCCCTACGTTAACAAAACACGTTTTTGTCCCCCATATTTCAAAAATTTAATATTTTTGGTCATTTCCGTCAATTTACCGTTAGTCCGTCAGTTAATGCAGTGATGTCTACATACTTGATTATATTAGTAGTAACGAAAAATTGACAGAAATGACTATTAGTGCTGAATTTTTGAAACTTGATGGACCAAATATAGAATCGGTGCAAACTGGAGGGATAAAAACTGTATATTTCCCAACACATCTAACATATTTATATACAATACTAGTACTACACCCGTGCGATGCACGGGGTAGCATTTACAAAGATGAAAAGAAAAAATATTTACATACGTCGTGAATAAAAATAGTAAGAAAACAATATGAACTTAAATCGCTATATTATGAATTAATCGTTTAGAAATGAAGTATGTTGAACAATGTAAAAATTAATAAACGTGTCATACATGTATTTTAGAACTCAAGCAATTGATAACTCGATTATTTAGTTCTTTAACAAAACTAATTAAAAATACGTATATAAATACTGAAAAATTTATTTCATTTAAATACATTTTGCAGTAACATAAAATTACCTAAATATGAACATCCATAAATCAATGTATATAGTTGTATACTCGTAGTCGTAATCATATGATACAACAATTATAAATTACCATTGTTGTGATCGTACTAAAAAAAATTCAGTAATCGTAAGAAAAATTATACTATCATGTCCTTCCATTTGTAAGTGTTTCAAGTTCGAGCACTGATGCTTCGCCTCTGGAGTCGCTTGAGGAAGTCAAAATTTGAATACTTGTTGCCCCTTGCTACTATTCCTCTTGGCAAATGCATCTGCAACAAAATCAAACATTTGGGGAAGCCCTAGCAAAGTGTTCAACGGGTGAATTAGATTTTTTAAGTTTATGAGGATTCTAAGTCATAATAAAATTTACTGTACGACTTGAACCACACTAAATAGAAACAAAAATATTCTAATGCAGTTACTTGCTCAACCTTAAAGAATACTAAAATAACAAATTGCTCAACCTAACATTTGAAAAAACATAATTAAAACCAAACCCATCTTTGTGAAAATCTTAATTAATTACCAAAATTTGGTTCTAATGTATATCATATAACCAAAAATACTAATATGAACTTTGAACTGTGCAGTGGAATTCAAAGTTGTAATTCGCTTTATCGAAAATATGAAAATAAACTTTGTAAATTTAAAAAAATACAAATTGTGGACATGTTTTCAAACTCCGATTCCAATACGATGAGCACCAGAATACCATTACCTCTAAGAGAGTGACTCTAGACACTATGCGGTAAAGTAAATGAATGTGAGAATCATACTGGGTGCCATTTTGAGTTTTCGTCATCTGCCGACAGGAAGTTGACAAAACTTGTAATCAACGATGAATCGATGTACGAAGCAGTCGTGTTGATTCCTGGAAAAATCATAGAATTTTTTTTTTATTACATATATATTTTGGATAAGATGCTCGATCACATTTATAGCATGTATGAAAAGTCGTAGTCCTTGAGCGAATCCTGATTCACTTTTTTGGAGAAGACCTTATTTGCTGAGATGGAGACCGGAATAGGGTTCAACATACTTTGATCAAGAAATAAAATTCCATCAACAAAAACGTATAAATGGTAGCAATTAAAATCGTAAAAAAAAATATCTGAAGATTAAAACTAACAAATTAGAGCACTATGATCAATATCTAAAATTGTTTTGGCATAAATTGGAAGACAATATGCAGGGCAAATAAACTGAATTTAAAGTGAATAACTGACAATACCATAGGTTATTTCAGAGAAGGATATGGAGATACAACGGGGGAAATCGGGCTTGCATTCACATGTTGGGGATGTAAAACAGTTGAAGTGTTCCCTGCATACATGAACAAAAAACAACGCGACTGTATAGTTATCTGTGTGCAGTTTGAAATCCGCGAGTTTTTTTTTTATCTTAATTGATAAATAATCCCAGTGTGATAACAAAACTATAAAAACTGCCCCTAGGGGTTTTAAACCATAAAAGGGAAAGTTATAAAACAAAAGGGAAAGTTTCAAAGGGAAAGTTTTTTTTTTCTTTTTTTTTTAAGCAAAGAAAAAATTATGTAATCTACTATCTCATTGTAATAAATGGGGACGAAAGGAATAAAAAAATATAAATTTTATCTTTACCGGTAAAATGCGTTACAAATGAACATGATATCATTTAAAATAGATTATTCAACTATTTCATGGATAGCAATATATACCTTGTGAGTCTTATGCAAAGTAACTGACTTATAGCAACGGCACAATAACAAAGAAGCTGTGAAGCAATAGAGATTCAAAGAACCTGCAAGATTATTCTTTCCCCAATAAAATATATTTTATTTAATTACAACTATTGTAATATTTGTGATGCAAGAGCATATTAATATAAAAAAAAAATTGTGCTTTCCCATTAAGGTGCATCGCTATATTTCTTTATGCACGTATATAGAATAAGATTCAATACATACCTTATCGAAAAATAAATAAATTAAACACCAAATATATGTAAAATAATATTGAAATATACTTCCTTAATAGTAGAGAATATGTGGTCGAGCCTCATGGTAGATCTTAATATGTACAGTCTGAATTTGAAGCAATAATAATTAGACTAACCCATATATTACACCTGAAAAAGAAAATACACAATAATATAATTGCAGTGTCGTTGTGGGAAAAGAATTTAGTGTGGACATAAATGAACCAAAAAGTATATGTATTTCGATTTAACATATGTATCATTTACCTGGGAAAAAAAAAACCTATGTATCATTTTCATTCATCTTTTTCTCCTTCATTTTCTACTAATAATCATATGGGTCATATTTGTGAGAGATTAATGTGATGCATTCATCTCATATTATATAATATAACTAATTAAGTCAAAAACAACTGCAAGTAGTCCAAATATATAATATTTAGTAAACAATATAGAGTCAATCAATTTTCGCTATCAATTTAAATACAACAATTAAGAATAAACATGTTGGCAGTGAATGCCATAAATCATTCAACCAACTCAAGATTTTTTTTAGCAGCCCTTAAAAAAAAAAAAAAAAAAAAAAAAGAATAATAATGAATTCATTAAAAGAGTCGAGTCAGTCAATGCAGATCCAGTAATATAAATTAGAAAAAAAAATATATGTATGCAAATTCACCACACGCACACAATAAAAAATTAAAACAGGAGATGTTTGCTAGAAATTTTGGATCTTAGTTGTATTAATACGTGAACATTAATTTCTGAATAACATTTTAACGAAATCTGGAGGAATCGCTAACCCGAATTAAAAAATAAAATAAATAAACAACGAATTAAGAAATCCTCAAATTATAAGCAAACAAATTAAAATTGCGTGCCTGGAGACGAAATCCTACTTCATTACCAAACAAATAAAAACACTAAGAACCTTATCAAAAAACCCAATAAATTTGAGCATAAAATCCGACTATCACTAACCTCTTGAGGATTTGGATGCACGAAAACGACAGTTTCGAACATTCTTGTGCCCGGCTTCAATAATTTTTGAAAGATTTATTTATGCTATTCATTCAAGCGGAAGGAATTTTAAATTAATTCGAGTTGGTATAAAGATGTGATATGCAATTTGAATTGAGAAGTTATAAGAAAGAAGTTTCGAGAAACCGATGAAAAGAAGTTTTCGGAAAAATAAATGTCGTGAGAGGTTATACATGCAGTTGGGGGA